GTAGAGATACAAAAAACAGCATAAGCCTTTGGAAGATGCACTGGCCAAGCCGTGACCCGAATCCAAACAAGAAACTGCACCCACACGCGCGTGACGCATGGCAGCGATTATTTTGAGAAAAAGAACTATCCACTATCCTCCATGTATCGTTCGCTATCATTAGCTATCTATTTTCAATATACTCTGTGAGTGGAATTACGTGTTCATGCGTTGCTCGGCGGTCTGATAGTATTCTTCTTCACGCTTAGGTAAAGGATAATTAGGGGGGTTGGGATGGTTTTACGAATGGGACTGGAGCGATAGGTTGGGCTGGTTCAAGAGCTGATGGTGAGAGAGGAGGGAGACGATATTCGCGGAAGAAGGGAAGTGGATAAATAATAATATGGAATTGAAGAAGAGTGTGGGGAAGGGGGAGGGAGAGGTTGAGAGGTTGAAACTGCCTTTAAGCCTTCAGGCAGACATGACATTATAGAAGAAGGGGACAGAAAGGTACTCTTCTTCTTCACAATTTATGTGCCTTGAGGGATTGAGGCAGTTTCAACCACATAAACAAAAGTAAATAAAACAAGTAAAACTAATATTGTGATTTAATTTGTGAATGGGGGAAAAACCGGGTTGCTAAGGTGACAAACAGGAGCCGGGAGAGGAGGAAAGCTGGGTTACGAAAAGGAAAGATGAAGAGAAGAGAAAGGAAGAGAACAGGAAACTTTAGACGGCAGCTCCGGAGATGAAGAACCATTTGTCGACGCTGCCGTCGATGGGTGCAGGAGCGAGCTCTTGGTGGGGCGGGATGGCGCTGACTTGGTTGGCGTCGACGCGGTCTGGGGATTGCTCCGAGGTGGTGTTTGCGCTGGGGAGATATCAGTTACATAGATCGTTTCCTGACCTGGGCAAGGGGGCATAAAAGGGATAGAGAAAAAAAGATAGGGGGAGAGGGGGAGAGAGGCATACAGGGAGATGTCGCCGCGAGAGCTCTTCCCGCTCATCAATTTATCCCATGCATCAGCGCACTCGTGGACGACTTCCATGGCGTACCTAATGGGAGGGGTATTGGGTTAGCAACAAATGATATTAAACAAAAAGAAAATAAAATTAGCAAAGAGAAGGGGAAGAAAGAATACTTCTTATTCTTGCATTCACCAGAGAACGCAAATTGATTCTCAGGCTTTCCATCGGGGATCTTATAGATACGGAACCATTCGTTGGTCGCCCGCAGGAGGCCCGGGAGATGACGCTCAACGTCCTCGATGTCATTGAGCTTTGGGGATAGCGGGTCGTTGATATCAATGACAATGACTTTCCAGTCGGTCTCCTCCTCGTCGAGCAGGGCCATGACACCAAGCACCTTGACCTGTTTCACCTGGCCGCAGTATCCGACCAGCTCTCCGATTTCGCAGACGTCGAGGGGGTCGTTGTCGCCCTTAGCTTTGGTTTCCGGGTGGACAACGTTGGGGTCTTCCCACGTCTGGCAAAAGGGAAAATTCTGTTTAATAATTGCCACGAGAGATAGATGGGAAGTTGGGTGCACATACTCGGGGAAGTGCTCCGTAGTTCCAAAGGTAGCCCTTGTGTGGGAAGCAGTTGCGCACGTATCGCAGTTTGCCCTTCTTCACATCTTGCTTGATGGGGTTGAGGAATTCCTCTTTGGAGATCTGGAAGAATAATAAATCAAAGAATGGGTTTGGAGTCAGCGAGATATTATTCTTTTTTTCATTTCATTCGTTCATTCCTCTTTTTGTCTCCCGGATATGTTAAAAATTCCCACCCCCACCAACAACAACCCCGCTGTAAGTGAAAAGACCCCTGTACAACTTTAAAAGTCGAGGATAATGAAGCGCACAAAACACATACCTCTAGCTTCGCATTTGTCCAGCGCGGGATCTCGACAACCATGTTCAGAATGGTCTGCTGCTCATTGGCATACAGCGGGATATCGTGAAAGGGCGATACGGGTTGTCCATCCCTCTCGATGTACGCGCGGAATTCGAGGGTGTTGGGCTGGCCGACTTTGCGTACGGAGTATTCGGACGGCGCCTTTGCGTACGACATTGCGGAAGGGGAAGACGAGAAATGCCTGGCGAGAATGGAAACACGGTTCGAAGGAGCAGACTGGCGAAGGAGAGAAGCAGACTGATGGTAGCGGGGAACGGGGCGAGCAGAAAAAGACGGCGAAGATGAAGATGAAGGTGAAGAGGAGGGGGAGGGGGAAATCGAAGGGTGGTGGCTTGTGGGGGGAGCCAGCTTAGTTGACGAGGTCGCAGCCAAACACGAATGACGACGGGCAGAGACAACGCCAACGGCAGCAACAGCACCACTCTGCAGATATCCAGCAGCAGCAGCAGCAGCAGCAGCAGCAGCAGCAATTGGGCTTATTGGCTTCGGGCAGCGTGTTGGGAGCAGGGGAGAGACGGCTTGGCTTGGTGTGCGCAGTGCAAATGCGAGTTTTCTCGACGGGAATTTGGACATGTGGCGAGCAAAAGAACCAGGCCTCCAGTGTGGATCAAAATGTCCGCAGGATTTTTACGATGTCGATGAGATTTCGCAATTTGAGATTGGATTTAGGTTTACTGGTGAGACTTCCTTGGGTCGGAAGGGGTTTTGTCGCGAACCGCTGGCTGAAGGGCTGCTGGAGCTTGGTACGGTGTGGAAAGTATACCCGCCAAAGAAGAAAAGAAAGCAGCAAAAGACAATGATAGTAGGTGGGCCTCGGGATAGTTGAAAGGTTCCCGGAGAGGAACCGAAAGCACATTTTGCACATGTGTGCTCCGTCTGGAGGGTTTGATATACAGCATTTTCATTCTCACTCCTACGTATCCTGGCAGCTACATTCTCATCATTTTCATCATTTCCTTCGATTCCGTGGTAACTACGCAGGCAAGTTTGCGGATCCAAAGTCTGCTGGGAAGCAGACTGAGCTAAATATATACACATATATAAGTTAGCCATCACATTGAACACCAAAGTCTGAAAATATATGTGAACATTCGCCAAAAATGTCATCACCGAAACCGAAACCACAAAACTCAACCAAAAATTTTTTGAAAAAAAATAAGATCGGGAACAATCGGGAATGATCATGTGATATAGGGTCTGGCGTTGATATCACGTGTGTGAGAGAAGTGTTAGTGGGTACTACGGCTACCCTATCACGTGCCCCCCAACATATTGTGTTGCTCTCGCGTAGTTAGTTTTAGTAATGACAACAACGTTATCCTCCCACAGGTTATGGCCCTTATAAGCTACGAAAGAGCTGCGAAATAACGTGCTAACTACGTCTCCACGCATCGTTAAAAGCGTGCCTAGACGGCTGTTAAGTGATTTGAACCTAATGGTTAATCTGAGATCGGGTGGAACGCCTGATTTAACGAAGGACTACGTGACGACGCGTAGAAGAAGTCCTCAAACACCGGAGGCACAACAAGAAGGACTGGACGCAGGTCTACCAACACCTGCAACCAACAGAAAGGTGATTGCCCCAGGGGCTTTTGAACCTGACGAGACAATCGAAGAAGAATCGAACAAGTCGAATATCGAATACGAAGACCCAATTGACAACAATGAGATGTCGGATAACGCGGGTGGCTCTAGTAGCCGTGATGATGTGAGTGAGGAAACTCGCATGAGATTGGAGATCGCGAGACTCCAGCATGAAGTCCAACAGATGAAAGCAAGTAGAGGTGAACCCTCTGCTAGTGATGAGAACATTAATGCAGATTTAGCAAACTATCTGCAGAGAAAAGGCAGAACGTCTGCTATTGTGAAGATTCTTAATGAATTCCGTGACCAAGTGAGATTCATAAGGGAGCCAGTTATCCTCACTGGTTTTGTGAATTATTCAGTGTGGAGGGAAGAGATCCTCCTCGCAGCGAGGCAATCTCATACAA